CCTCCTGCACACCCCCCATTGGGGATGTGCCCGCAACCAAGGTACATGCCCTTGACTGGAATCGAATCTGGGACCCTTGAGTCCGCAGGCCGACGCTCTATCCACTGAGCCAAACCGGTTAGGTCTAATCATTGATGTTTCTATCTCTCTCTCCCTTCCTCTCTGAAATTAATAAAAATAAATACATTTTTTTAAAAGTTAGCCATCTGGAAGCATGTGGTGTATGTGTCAGGGGAGCAGACAGGGGAGTTGAGATTGTGCAGAGAACTCTTAACAGAATGGCAAGAATCCTGGAGACATTCACACTGAATGCTGAGATGACTTTGAAGGTCTCTCAGGAATCCTAAGCTTCAAAATAAGATACCATGTGATAATAAGAAAACCACTCATACCCAATATAGTGAGTTTAAACATCTTAAACACTAAAGCACTGTGTGTTCTAGTTTGCAGATTCAGAGGATGTTTCTCTAAGTCTGGTCTTTACCCAGCAGTGGCTTTAGTGCTATTCCTTCCAGATGCCTGATGTCTTCAGAAGCAGCCCGACAATGTGAAATAGTTGATGTAAGTCCCCAAAAGGGACACAAATTACTCTGCCAGCTGCATTCCCTCATGTCAGGAAGAAGAGAGTCCAATATATTTCTTATCTAATACAAAATCTCAGAAGGTTGAAACACACTAACACAGAAAAGAAAATGCAGTTAGGATTCAACTACTTGCTGTCATGAAAAGTATCAATAGTTAATAATGCTGAAAATTCATAGCATGTTAGAGATAAAAGAGTCCTCAAATATCACCTTTTACAGATGGGACAGCTTCAGCCCAGAGAAGTAAGGAGTCAAGACTTCAGTCTCACAAAGTGATCTGACAGTCATAGCTCACTGTCAAACAAGTCCTTCCAACCTGCAGTGCTCCCTGACTCCATGAAGGGGACACATTCTTAAAAAAAGAATATATATTTTTATTAATTTCAGAGAGAGGAAGAGAGAAGGTGAGAAGGATAGAAACATCAATGATGAGAGAGAATCATTGATGAGCTGCCTGCCTCCTACACACCCCCTTTTGGGGATGGAACCCACAATGACAGGAATGGAACCATGATCTCCACCGGGCTCTGTTTGTTTTTGTTGTTGTTTTACCTACCAATCTGTATTTCTCAAACCCTTCACCTTTTTCATCCAGTTCCCCAACCTCCTCCTGTCTGGTAACCATCAGTCTGTTCTCTGTATCTATGAGTCTGTTTCTGTTTTGTTTGTTAGTTTATATTGTCCTTTAGATTCCATATGTAAGTGAAATCATATGGTTTTTGTCTTTCTCTGACTGACTTATTTCAGTTGGCATAATACCCTCTAAATCCACCCATGCTGTCGAGAGGGACACATTCTTAAAACATAGCTGGAATATCAAGTAATTACCGAATGCCCCTTTTCTACTTTTATTCTTCACTCACCAGTTACTTAGCACTCTATTAATTATTTTAATTTATTGATTGATTTTTAAAGAGAGAAGAAGAGAAAGAGAAACACCGATTTGTTGTTCCACTTATTTATGCATTCACTAGAGGCCCGGTGCACAAAATTCGTGCATGGGTGCAGTCCCTAGGCCTGGTCAGCGCTCAAAGTGCAAGTGTCTGGCATGGAAGGGCAGATCCTAGCTGACGTCTGGGCCCTGGGAAGCACCTGGGCCCCCGGGCCCCCGCACGCCCCCTCTGCCTGAGTCATAGCGCCCGATTCCCCACACAGAGATTCGGTGAGCACGGCCGGACGCCACGTGCCAGGGTGCAGTGTGGGCCTCTGGGCCGCCCAGTGGTCCCACATGGAAGCTGGATGGGCAGCGCGCTCTCTCCTGGTTGGCCTCGCAGACCGGCTTCTGCACAAACCCATAGGGAGCCCGACTGGCCCCTGCAGTCCCAGTGGCTGCGGCCCAGCTCACCTGGAAGACACCGCACAGGTGCGGGCGGGCTCCTCGCGGGTGCCCAGCACCTGACCACAGGGGGGGGCTTCCCCAGCATGCAAGCCCTGGTGTCCCGGGGGAGGGTAGCAGGGGGAGTGAGAGCGAGCTCTGCATTCTCACCACACCTCCGTCCCCAGGTAGTCGGGGAGAGGTCGCAGCATGTCACCGATGCCCGCCATGTTCTGCACCACCTCCTATGCAAGTCATAGAGAGGGGTTGAACTCCGGTCAAGGGGACAATTTGCATATTAGGCTTTTATTATATAGGATTGATTGATCCTTGTATGTGCCCTGACTGGGGATTGAACCCACAACCTTGGTGTACCGGGAGGATGCTCTAACCAAGAGAGCTACCCGGCCAGAGTATATTGATTTGATCATAGTCCAAAGAGTTCAGAAACTTGTGTGCACAACTCATGCTCTTCTAAGGGGTACACAAATGGTCATAAAAATGTGTGTATACAAATCTGTGCATATACACACACATTTATGGTTATAAATATACACCTCTTTATACATATATAAAATATGTTAATGTATTATCTAATACATAAAGAAAGATCATCAATAGTTAAATAGCATTAATAACATACCTATGTACAATATAACCACTGCTAAATGTATTGGAAAAGAAATAAAGGCAAATTGGCTACTTATAAATATTTCAAGGTATTTGTAAAAAATGTATCACCCAATGCTTCTGTTAAGTTCAGTTGTCAATTCTTAGACTTTATACCATCTAGTACTAAACCTTAGGGCAATTATACCAATGAAGAATGATCCAACCTAAGATGTGTGTTTAATGTGAATAATCCAAGATTGTGAAAGAATGTCAACTGTTGCAGCAGCCATCTTTTGTCCAGTGTTGGTGACAGACTCTAACTTAATTATTCTTCTAACCCTGACCCTCTTTTTCTAAAAAGGAAAGTGAGTGTATTCGTTACCCTGCAGTACATCCAAGTCCAGACAATAATGTAAGGAAACTCTCAGGAAATTAATTTGAAATAAATTGGATGTGCTTCAAAATAGTTGTTTGAATTACGATGATTTCTGGTGATGTGTGGGGTTGTGTGTTTTTGTTTGTTTGTTTGTTTTTCCTTTTTCTCAGGAACATGCTTCTTTTGGGTAATAATACAAATTACACAAAATCTTTTAGCTAATACATACCAGAATATTTGTATTATTACCCAAAAGGACCATGTTACTGAGAAAAAGTATCTTATTATTGCTTAGAGATTAGTGGTTTGATTTTTGAATATGGAACTTTACCATGTGGCAGCATAGCAGAGCGAGTCAGAAGTCTCAGGACCTCATCTAAACCTAATCACCTCCCCAAGGCCCCACCTCCAAATACTGTCTCATGGGGGGTCAGGGCTTCTACATGAATTTAGGGGCAACACCATTCAGTCCACAGCAACCAATAAACCCACATGTACCAGATTTTACTTTCTTCCAAATACTTGTAGCTGATGACATGGTCATGAACGGAGAGGAGAGGAATGCATTTACCTGCCCCCTAAACCTCAGCTCTTCTTCATATGTATTGACTGGCATGATACTGTCTCTTCTTGGGGTTTTGCTGAGCCACATTCAAGCTTTCCTCTCAAATTGCTAAACCAAATTTTTCTTCTGACTCAGAAATACTTTTAATAATATAATTGGTAGTAACAGAACTATACACATATTTGTTAATTTATAATAGCAAAACAATTATTGTTACAGGTTGAGTTGTGGTCTCTCCCGCCCCCCCTCCCCCGCCCAAAGAAAATAAAAAAGATATGTTGAATTCCTAACCTCCAGTATTTCAGAATGGGATCTTATTTGGAAGTAGGATTGGCGCAGATGTACTTAGTTAAGTAAGGTCAACCTGGGTGGGGTATAGGGCTAATTTAATATGTCTGGTGTCCTTATAGGAAGACGACTGAGTGAAGATAGAAACTCAGGGAGAGTGCCAAGAAGAGAATGTGAACACAGAAGACTGGAGTGATGCATCTATAAGCCAAGAAATGCCAAAGAGTCTGACAAGCCACCAGAAGCCAGGGGGAAGCAAAGAAGGTTCTACTACAGGTTTCTGAGGGCAGATGGCCGGGCGTTGGGTTCACTAGATTCCAGAACTATGAGACAATACATTTTGGTTGTTTTAAGCCACCTTATGTGTAGTACTTTGTTATGGGAGCCCTGCAAAATGAATACGTCGTCTGTCTTCTGCAATTGAATTGTAATAGAATAGTAAGAGGCATTTTATATTCTTATTTTGAGTATGTACATATCCTTTCTTTTTCAAATATGGTAAGAAAACAAAAGGTGATAAATTTACTTTTTATTTTTAATGTTCAGAGCTGGCAAAATGAGTCCCAGCAAGTAAAAACCAAATGAAGATAAAGGTAACTACATGTGTTATTTAATCCAAGAAAATAAAGAGCATTCGCTGCAAAGTGTGGTTTCTTGCCAGAGCAGTTGTTGGGAAAACAGTTGTAAGTACATTAAAAATGACATTTACAGAATCAACTATCAAGTTATTTGTGGAATACATTTAAAATGAAATTTTCATTCCCAACTCTAATATTAAAGAACATTCTTAGTATTATTTACAGTATTTATTATGCAAAGTAGAAGGAGGATATCAGATTCACAAATAAACTACCAATTTGGGAGTTACTCACTGAAAAGTCTAAGAGGTGTCTCTGAAGGACTGCTTGCTTCAAATACAAGGAGAATATTGGAGATTCATAGAGGTTTCTACAGCCTCACACTTCACCAGAATCATTTTTGAAGTTAAAATAATTCTTTCATCCCATCATAAAGCAAAACATATTGACATATATGGAAAAATCCAAGAATGCCAAGTCACGTTCCTTTTTGTATAAGTAACCTCTGTGTTCAATGCCAAAAGCACAGAATCCTAAAGAGAGCAGTGATGTGCAGAATAAGCAAGACCTAACTGAGGTATGACTTGCTGGTTAGCACCCCTTTACCTGAAAATGGAGGGAAATGGAGGCTGTAAAGTAACATGCTTTACTCTGTAAAAATATTCATTGATAAGAGTTTGCTGCAAAGATATGGTCAGGATAGTAAGCGAATATAATACACACACACACAGTCTCTTCTTCACAAATTCTAAAGGATTATGTCTGACTTCTTCTTGCTAAACCAGTTTGATCTAGCACCTACTATGTGCTGGAACGCATATGCATTTAAACAACCAACCAAAGGCCTATTTTCATGGAGCTTGCATGGTACTAGAGGTGATAAACAATGTATATTGTTCTCTTATATGTCCTATCAAATTGCTTAAGGACTTAACCTTTGCAACTAAAATTATGAATTGCAACATATGAGAAAGTGAATTTGATGGTTCCATCACATTTGTAAATTTAGAGCCATATTTTTCTCTCTCAAGGTAATAAATGCTGTTTATGACTTCTTTAAATTTACATGGTACTCCAACATATTAATACCCTGTGAATTGCAAAAAAAACACCCCACAAATACATTTACAGTAGTATCATTGGTCACCAAAATGGAGAGGGAAAGGAAATTTTACAATTGTGAGAATACGCAAATGTTCTCATTAAGGCAGTATTGACCCAAATGACCATGTAGTATCTGCCCCCTCAAAAACTTCACAACTCTGGAATGCCCATTGTGACGAACGTGTCAGCATACATACAGTATTTCCTAAATTCTCACACCTTCTTCATTTTCTGATTCATGTGGTGAACTGGGAGTAGGAAGTTGGTCATAGACATTGTGCCCTCCTTCCCTTGTCTGACCAAAACTTGAAGCAATCACATCCACTGCCAGGCCAGCTGTAGCCTTGGCTTCTTCGTCTGAAGCAGCCAACTGAGGATTAACTTCAACAAGATCCAGTGCTGACAGCAACCCTGTGTTGTCTATTTCCTCAGTAATACACATGCCTTCTCCATAGGTCAGTCCCCCTACAACAGGAGTTCTGTGGCTGGAGCCAGTGTAGGGTCAAATGCATCAATATCAAAGCTCAGATGGATTGGCCTTTGTCTTTCGCCAATCAGCAGATCGAATGTCTGTTCCATGACCTTCTGGATACCAAGTCTATCCATGTCTCTCATGGAAAAATACTGAATATCATAATTCTTTAAAATGTTCAGGAGGATCCACATCTCTTAGACCAATATACACAATACTTGGGGAAGAGATACAAGGTTTGATCCAGGAAAATCCTGGGAGCTGTGGCACCTTGTCCTGTAGTTCTCAGAGGAGAAATGAAACCGGCTGTCCACCAGATGAAGTGGTGAGGGGTGTATTGATGTCAGCGTGAGCATCAACCCAGATCACACAAAGGTCTGGGCAGTGCCGGGCGTGGCCACCGATGGTATCAATTGCCAAGCTGTGGTCTCCTCCCACTGTGACACAGCTGTAGCCACCTGATACTGCTCTACTAACTACCTCAGCCAGTTCCTGGTTGGCGAGGCCCAACGAGCGAGGGTTTGCTATCAGGTTGTTGTACAGATCATCTTTGGGGACTGGAGTGAAACTCAAATCTCCAAAGTCCTTTAGGTGGCAGCCCAAATTGGAGAGCCTTTTCATCAAGCCAGCTTCTCTGATAGCAGCAGGACCATATTCCACTCCTTTTCTTTTCTGTCCCCATGAGAACGGGGCTCCAATCACAGCCACCGAGTAGACAGACTTTTTCAGAACGAAATGCACTTGCGTCCGGAGACGCGAGAGGCTGCAGCTTAAGGACATGATGGGCAGCGCGGAACGTTGCCAAGCGACCGGCTGCTCCGTGCGCTTCGCCGCCTGAAGTCTAGAGCTCTGTCTTCGGGGGCGATTATGGCGGTCATGGGTGGCATTTACTGCTAGTGCGGTTCAGTCGGCAGCTTAACCTAAAAGAACCCGCCATGGATGTCCTTGAGAATTCTTTTTGACACACAGACATGCTCACCACCCACAGCAAGTGTAAACACCGGCTTTCCGTGCAGGGCTTCTTGTTTACACCACTCCAGACCGTTCTGCTGGTGGAGAGTAGATAAATCTTGGAGTCCAAAAAGGTACTAAAGGAACACAAGTTGCACAATACGTTTTTCCACCACAGAAGCGAAGAATCTGAGCCCTTCGTCTTCCTCTTTCAGTTCCTTGGGCGAGAACATCTTGGATTTGAGCCATTTCATACAAGGATCTCCTCGTTTTCTTTACATTTCTCCTGACAGTTGTCTGACAGGCTCCCAAACTTCAGCCCCAACTCTCCACAAACATTGTCATCAAGTGATTTGGGGAATCAACACAGTGACTGACTTTTCAAATATCTGTGCAAGATCACAGATCTTGAAGGGCTCATTTCTGAAATGCTTATAGGCATACCCTCCATTTTCCAACATCCCGAAAGTGTCAGGGTTGTTAGTTGCAATCAAGAGAAATCAAATCTGACTGTTTTAAGGAGAAAAGAAATGTATTAAAGGACACTGAGCAGCTCACCTGAAGAGCACAGCTAGAGCAACGCCCAGATCATGCTCTGGGACTGGCCACCACTGCCGCCATCCTGGGCTCAGATACCAGCACTTGAACCACCTCCACCACCCACAGAACAAGAAACACTCGTGCTAAAACCACAGCCACTGACAGCTCTTCATGCCGTGTGTACCTGCCACCTCTGCTGCCACTCTCTTCAGCACAGATCCTCCCCCCCCCCCATTCCACTTCTTTCTGCATTTTCTTCTGACAGTGATGTCATCGCATGCCTGGCGGAGCTGTGAGGGAGGCTGGGAAACGGACTTGTGTTTCCAAACGGAGCAGTGCGAATCCCAGAATGGACATTGTCAGATTCCAAGGCGAGCTTCCTCCCAAAAGGTAGAAAGTGCTTCTGACCAAGGAAGGGGGTTCCCATGCAGTGATGATGGGTTCCCATCTCCCTCGCTGGCTTAACCTGAAGACCGAGTCACCTGTCTTTGATGAACAAGCACGTGGGCCTGAGACTTCTGTTCTCTTTATTACCTCACACGGCAAAACGAGCTGGCTCTGAGGAGAGGGCGGCTGTGCTTCCTGCTGCCCCCACACCTGTCCCTCCGAGCCCCTAAACACAGCTCGTTACATCAGATGGAACTTACAGATGTCCAGTCCCATGCCCGACCGCCTGGAAGGCCTGCCCCTTAGCCGCCTGCACGACCCACAGGCTTGACTCAAATGCCGCTTCCTCCAGGAAGCCTGGAAATTAATGTGCAAGGGAGATCCCTTAAGGCCTGATTCCCTCACGGGAACTACGACTCCCTGGGCTTGCACACTGCTCTGCTTTTTTCTCCAAGGCACTTGCCCACCCTGCAGTGATGTAGTTTGCAAACACACCCAATGTTCAGTGCAAATTCCAGAACCTCCTCTAGGAAGAGTTAGTGCAGGAGTCCGGGTAGGGCTGGGAGTTTGGGGGACTTCGCATGAGACTGGACATAATGAATCTCATCATGAAGGAGGTTTTGTGGGAGTGCAATGTGCCCCTTCCCCCCCAGCAGCGACCTTCAGCTCTGCTGCCCTCTTACGTGGGGCCGTGCAGCCAGCCCTCTGTCCCTGCCCAGATGGGTGACCTTCCTGGTTGGGTGGTGTCTGGCCAGTGACGACTCATGCTCTACAGGTTGTTGTGGAGACTAACTGTGTTAACACTTGCAAGGAGCTAACAATGAGGCTCAGCAGCCCTTAGCCCCAGGTTAGTTATTATTAGCACAGTCTTCCAGGGGGCAGAGGCCTTCTTGGTTCTCTTTGCACTCCCCTCTGCCCAGCCCCTCTCCCAGGGCCTTGCTTATAGGAGAGGCCGTCAGGTGTGCTGAAGTGAGATTCGGCATCTGGAGGGATTTGGGCCGAGGCTGGGGGAGGCAGATAGCACATGGTGGTGAAATCCTGTCCAGCGATAGGAAACTGGAGGTAATCTATGTCAGGGCTTTCTCTGGGCTTCAGGGGCAAAAAAATTGGGGGGTAGAGGTCAGACTGACCATTTGCAATATGTCAAATAAGTGATCTTGGAAGGAAAAAAGTGTCCACCTCAGTCCATAGAACTTATTTGGCCATTAAAAAAATATATATATATATGTTTTTGTTGATTTAGAGAGGAAGAGAGAGAGAGAGAGAGAGATAGAAACATCAATGAGAGAAACTACTGGGGATGGAGCCTGCAACCTGGGCATGTGCCCTGACTGGGAATCGAACCATGACCTCCTGGTTCATAGGTCCACGCTGAACCACTGAGCCACGCCGGCCGGGCAGGCCATTTTGATGAGATAATACTTAGGGCATGCTTGACTTTGCTGCCAAGAAATCTATTCTCATCATTTATTCCTTT